GAGGCTGGTCCTTGTAAACACTGTCATTAATGAGATGTTCAAAGAAGTCATGTGTTTGTTTGTTTTAAACTCTTTCCCTCATGACGGATGTGTTTTAGCGTAGCATGAAATCTATACTGCACTTAGAGAGACCCGAGAGAGAGACCAGAGAGAGAGACCAGAGAGAGAGACCCGAGAGAGAGACCAGAGAGAGAGACCCGAGAGAGAGACCAGAGAGAGAGACCCGAGAGAGAGACCAGAGAGAGAGACCAGAGAGAGAGAGACCAGAGGGAGAGACCAGAGGGAGAGACCAGAGGGAGAGACCCGAGAGAGAGACCAGAGAGAGAGACCAGAGAGAGAGAGACCAGAGAGAGCCAGAGAGAGACCAGAGAGAGAGACCAGAGAGAGAGAGAGGAGAGAGAGAGAGACAGAGAGAGAGAGAGAGAGAGACAGAGAGAGAGCCAGAGAGAGAGACCAGAGAGAGAGAGCGAGAGAGAGAGACCAGAGAGAGAGACCAGAGAGAGAGAGGCCAGAGAGAGAGAGGAGAGAGAGCAGAGAGAGAGCCAGAGAGAGAGAGAGACAGAGAGAGAGAGAGCCAGAGCGAGAGAGGCCAGAGCGAGAGAGGCCAGAGCGAGAGAGGCCAGAGCGAGAGAGGCCAGAGCGAGAGGCCAGAGAGAGGCCAGAGCGAGAGAGGCCAGAGCGAGAGAGGCCAGAGCGAGAGAGGCCAGAGCGAGAGAGGCCAGAGCGAGAGAGGCCAGAGCGAGAGAGGCCAGAGCGAGAGAGGCCAGAGCGAGAGAGGCCAGAGCGAGAGAGGCCAGAGCGAGAGAGGCCAGAGCGAGAGAGGCCAGAGCGAGAGAGGCCAGAGCGAGAGAGGCCAGAGCGAGAGAGGCCAGAGCGAGAGAGGCCAGAGCGAGAGAGGCCAGAGCGAGAGAGGCCAGAGCGAGAGAGGCCAGAGCGAGAGAGGCCAGAGCGAGAGAGGCCAGAGCGAGAGAGGCCAGAGCGAGAGAGGCCAGAGCGAGAGAGGCCAGAGCGAGAGAGGCCAGAGCGAGAGAGGCCAGAGCGAGAGAGGCCAGAGCGAGAGAGGCCAGAGCGAGAGAGGCCAGAGCGAGAGAGGCCAGAGCGAGAGAGGCCAGAGCGAGAGAGGCCAGAGCGAGAGAGGCCAGAGCGAGAGAGGCCAGAGCGAGAGAGGCCAGAGCGAGAGAGAGCCAGAGCGAGAGAGCCGAGAGCAGGGAGACCGGAGAGCGAGACCGGAGAGCGAGACCGGAGAGCGAGACCGGAGAGCGAGACCGGAGAGCGAGACCGGAGAGCGAGACCGGAGAGCGAGACCGGAGAGCGAGACCGGAGAGCGAGACCGGAGAGCGAGACCGGAGAGCGAGACCGGAGAGCGAGACCGGGAGAGCGAGACCGGAGAGCGAGACCGGAGAGCGAGACCGGAGAGCGAGACCGGAGAGCGAGACCGGAGAGCGAGACCGGAGAGCGAGACCGGAGAGCGAGACCGGAGAGCGAGACCAGAGAGCGAGACCGGAGAGCGAGACCGAGAGCGAGACCAGAGAGCGAGACCAGAGAGCGAGACCAGAGAGCGAGACCAGAGAGCGAGACCGGAGAGAGCGAGACCGGAGAGCGAGACCGAGAGCGAGACCGAGAGCGAGACCAGAGAGACGAGACCAGAGAGCGAGACCAGAGAGCGAGACCAGAGAGCGAGACCAGAGAGCGAGACCGAGAGCGAGACCGAGAGCGAGACCAGAGAGCGAGACCAGAGAGCGAGACCAGAGAGCGAGACCAGAGAGCGAGACCAGAGAGCGAGACAGAGAGCGAGACCAGAGAGCGAGACCAGAGAGCGAGACCAGAGAGCGAGACCAGAGAGCGAGACCAGAGAGCGAGACCAGAGAGCGAGACCAGAGAGCGAGACCAGAGAGCGAGACCAGAGAGCGAGACCAGAGAGCGAGACCAGAGAGCGAGACCAGAGAGCGAGACCAGAGAGCGAGACCAGAGAGCGAGACCAGAGAGCGAGACCAGAGAGCGAGACCAGAGAGCGAGACCAGAGAGCGAGACCAGAGAGCGAGACCAGAGAGCGAGACCAGAGAGCGAGACCAGAGAGCGAGCCAGAGAGCGAGACCAGAGAGCGAGACCAGAGAGCGAGACCAGAGAGCGCGAGGCCAGAGAGCGAGACCAGAGAGCGAGACCAGAGAGCGAGACCAGAGAGCGAGACCAGAGAGCGAGGCCAGAGAGCGAGGCCAGAGAGAGCGAGCCAGAGAGCGAGGCCAGAGAGCGAGAGACGAGAGAGCGAGGCCAGAGAGCGAGGCCAGAGAGCGAGGCCAGAGAGCGAGGCCAGAGAGCGAGGCCAGAGAGCGAGGCCAGAGAGCGAGGCCAGAGAGCGAGGCCAGAGAGCGAGGCCAGAGAGCGAGGCCAGAGAGCGAGGCCAGAGAGCGAGGCCAGAGAGCGAGGCCAGAGAGCGAGGCCAGAGAGCGAGGCCAGAGAGCGAGGCCAGAGAGCGAGGCCAGAGAGCGAGACCCGAGAGCGAGAGACCCGAGAGCGAGAGACCCGAGAGCGAGAGACCCGAGAGCGAGAGACCCGAGAGCGAGAGACCCGAGAGCGAGAGACCCGAGAGCGAGAGACCCGAGAGCGAGAGACCCGAGAGCGAGAGACCCGAGAGCGAGAGACCCGAGAGCGAGAGACCCGAGAGCGAGAGACCCGAGAGCGAGAGACCCGAGAGCGAGAGACCCGAGAGCGAGAGACCCGAGAGCGAGAGACCCGAGAGCGAGAGACCCGAGAGAGAGAGACCCGAGAGAGAGGCCCCCGAGAGAGCCCCCAGAATCTTTTTTTAAGGCAGAGTCAGAATGTGCTCAAAGTAAGAAACAGTCAGCCTTATTTGACTTATTTTTCATCACTTTTTGCAGTGTGGACTTTCTGAGAAGAGGTTTAATGACTCTGATAATTCAATAACGACTGTAGAATGAAAACAAGTAAGAACCCAGTGTGTAACGAGATATTCTCCAGGGACATCTCTAAAGCTTTGTTTGGGTTTAAATCCCACAACAACAAATCAATGATCAAAATAATCTTTAAGTACAGCTCTTGACCTGTCTAGATCTGGTCCAGGCCTGGTCCACCCGACCCTGGTCTTACCGTACCATTGTACTCATTTCATTCCGTAATTAGGTCTGGATTTGACTCCTTTTTGTAGATTGAAAGGATTGTATTCGAGTTTGCCGCGACGTATGTAACGCGCCCGAGTGACTGAGCTAGCCTTTAGCCTAGCTTTAGCATTCAGGCTAGCTTTAGATCTAGCCTCATGTCTCCAACAGTAGCCAGGATTCTGTAAATGATTTCCAGACTCCTTCCTGGGGAGGTGTTCCGGGCACGTCCCACCGGGAGGAGGCCCCGGGGAAGACCCAGGACACGCTGGAGAGACTATGTCTCTCAGCTGGCCTGGGAACGCCTAGGGGTCCCCCCGGACGGCTTGAGGAGGTGTGTGTGGATAGGGAAGTCTGGGCGTCTCTGCTTAGACTGCTGCCCCCGCGACCCGGCAACGGATAAAGCGGAAGAAAATGGATGGATGGATTTCCAGACTCGATTTAAGACGCATTTGTTTGTTCTCGCCTGTGTGTATAGTGCAGGGATTAAAGAGTTCCGTCTAGGTGACGGATTTCCGTCAAATGAAATTGGTCTGGAAAAAAAATATATATATATATATAATGATAATAATACACACAATGAAATGATTGATTATAAAAATAATATATAGTAATACATATACGTGTGAATCTGTTATATATATATATATATATATATATATATATCGATGTATAATAATAATTTGAATATAATTGTATTTATATGTATATAGAAATAATAAGTAATATAATCACGAGTGGGCCTTGAACGTGCCGTGGCCACATGAGCGCTCCGCAAATGAATCAAGGCAATGGGACGTAGCTGAGCTCACGCGCAAATGAAGACGCGATGAAGTTAGCATTGGTAACACGGAGGTGAAAGTTTCTGGAAACTGCACGGAGCTTTTGAAAAGGAGAAGAGGAGGAAAATTGAATCTCGAACGGAGCAATAACAGCAGCAGATCCGCGGACTGGTAAGCTGGGCGCGTAATAGAGGAAAGGTAATTAACGTTTACCAAACGCAATGCTATTTTACTTAACGGAATGTACAAAACAGACTTTGCTGCAACTGGGAATGGGGACAAACATGTCTTGGTGAGCTTTTGATATTGTCTTGTTTGCGATCTTCTTGCAAAACTCAGCGTGATGTAAAAGAGCCAATCAACGAGTCATGGTGCGAAAAGATGAAAGTGGCCGGTGCTTGTGCATACTTTGCCATAAAAAATTGCATATATGGGAGTAATGAGAAAAAAGTTTTGATTCGCCACCAGCTCAAAACTGCGCACAAGGCAGCTGTTTGTGCACTTTCCCACACTTCATCTTTACCTGGTGCATCAGCAACAACTAACACTAGGCTTGCTCTGGCGGACAGTGTCTGTGGCTTTATCGCAGAAAATAACGTTCAGAATATCACTACCGCTGGTAGATTTATTTAAATCATTTGCAGTTGATCGAAGTGCACTGTGCACTCAAACTTGATAGGGAAACCTTTTTCTTAAATATTGACGTGTCCACAAACAAATGTGGACAACATTTTATCGTCCTTTTGCAATATTTTGACGAGGACAGAGCCAAAGTGTTGACGCTCCATATCGCCTCAAGTAAAGCTACTCTCACTAATATTCTGTCAAAAAGTTTACTCGTTGCTTGATCCACTTATATTTCATATCAAAATACACTGTATATCTTTGAAGAATTCATTTGAGCTGTATTCAATATACAATCTATTATACAATAATATATTGTAATTACAAATATAACTTGGTCCTGCATATTACTGTGATTTACATGTGATAAATTTCCATGCGAAAATTTTCAGTCAAATCTTTTTTTTTTGCTTTAACCCCTGGTATAGTGTGTTATATATTGTGTGTTCACCTGTGCCGCATGTGTGTGTTTGTGTTTCAGTCCTGGTCGCACGTGTGGCTCCTTTGACAACGAGATTGTGATGATGAACCACGTCTACAGAGAGCGCTTTCCCAAGGTGCAGTTCACCTCCTCTGCACCATTATACATCCATGTCTGCGCCATCTTAACCTTGTTCTGTTTCAATATTAAATCTCAAACACAAACCAATAATATCCAAAAGTCATATGTCGATGCTATATAGATAGATAGATACTTGGATACATAGATAGATAGATACTTGGATAGATACTTGGATACATAGATAGATAGATACTTGGATAGATACTTAGATAGATAGATACTTGGATAGATACTTAGATACATAGATAGATAGATACTTGGATAGATACTTAGATACATAGATAGATAGATACTTGGATACATAGATAGATAGATACTTGGATAGATACTTAGATACATAGATAGATAGATACTTGGATAGATACTTAGATACATAGATAGATAGATACTTGGATAGATACTTAGATACATAGATAGATAGATACTTGGATACATAGATAGATAGATACTTGGATAGATACTTAGATACATAGATAGATAGATACTTGGATAGATACTTAGATACATAGATAGATAGATACTTGGATAGATACTTAGATACATAGATAGATAGATACTTGGATACATAGATAGATAGATACTTGGATAGATACTTAGATACATAGATAGATAGATACTTGGATACATAGATAGATAGATACTTGGATAGATACTTAGATACATAGATAGATAGATACTTGGATAGATACTTAGATACATAGATAGATAGATACTTGGATAGATACTTAGATACATAGATAGATAGATACTTGGATACATAGATAGATAGATACTTGGATAGATACTTAGATACATAGATAGATAGATAGATACTTGGATAGATACTTAGATACATAGATAGATAGATAGATACTTGGATAGATACTTAGATACATAGATAGATAGATACTTGGATAGATACTTAGATACATAGATAGATAGATACTTGGATAGATACTTAGATACATAGATAGATAGATACTTGGATAGATACTTAGATACATAGATAGATAGATACTTGGATACATAGATAGATAGATACTTGGATAGATACTTAGATACATAGATAGATAGATACTTGGATAGATACTTAGATACATAGATAGATAGATACTTAGATACATAGATAGATACTTCTCATTAATGAGATGTTCAAAAAAAGTCATGTGTTTGTTGGTTTTAAAGTCCTGCCCTCATGACGGATGTGTTTTAGCGTAGCATGAAGTCTATACTGCGCTTAGCCTTTGTATTGATTTGAACCGGGTCAGGGCAGACAAGAGAGACCAGAGAGAGAGACCAGAGAGAGAGACCAGAGAGAGAGACCAGAGAGAGAGACCAGAGAGAGAGACCAGAGAGAGAGACCAGAGAGAGAGAGACCAGAGAGAGAGAGACCAGAGAGAGAGAGACCAGAGAGAGAGAGACCAGAGAGAGAGAGACCAGAGAGAGAGAGACCAGAGAGAGAGAGACCAGAGAGAGAGAGACCAGAGAGAGAGAGACCAGAGAGAGAGAGACCAGAGAGAGAGACCAGAGAGGGAGAGACCAGAGAGAGAGAGACCAGAGAGAGAGAGAGACCAGAGAGAGGGAGACCAGAGAGAGAGAGACCAGAGAGGGAGAGACCAGAGAGGGAGAGACCAGAGAGGGAGAGACCAGAGAGGGAGAGACCAGAGAGGGAGAGACCAGAGAGGGAGAGACCAGAGAGAGACAGACCAGAGAGAGAGAGACCAGAGAGAGAGAGACCAGAGAGAGAGAGACCAGAGAGAGAGAGACCAGAGAGAGAGAGACCAGAGAGAGAGAGACCAGAGAGAGAGAGACCAGAGAGAGAGAGACCAGAGAGAGAGAGACCAGAGAGAGAGAGACCAGAGAGAGAGAGACCAGAGAGAGAGAGACCAGAGAGAGAGACCAGAGAGAGAGAGACCAGAGAGAGAGACCAGAGAGAGAGACCAGAGAGAGAGACCAGAGAGAGAGACCAGAGAGAGAGACCAGAGAGAGAGACCAGAGAGAGAGACCAGAGAGAGAGACCAGAGAGAGAGACCAGAGAGAGAGACCAGAGACCAGAGAGAGACCCGAGAGAGAGACCCGAGAGAGAGACCAGAGAGAGAGACCAGAGAGAGAGACCAGAGAGAGAGACCAGAGAGAGAGACCAGAGAGAGAGACCAGAGCGAGACAGACCAGACCAGAGAGAGAGACCAGAGAGAGAGAGCCCAAAGAGATATAGATACTTGGATAGGTAGTTGCTATATTGAACCCTGTAGGTCAACAAATACATAATTCTCGAAGTCACTAATAATAGTAATAAAGTTATTAGCATATTAGCATTAGCCTCGTCTGTATCTGTTAAACAAATCTGCTCTGGTCTCTCTCTTGTGGATATTGACCTAAAGTCCTTCCTCTCTCGTCCTCTTGGATGTCTTCCCAGGCCACGGCTCAGATGGAGGGCCGTCTCTTGGGCATCATGGAGGAGTGCTCCCCGGGCTCCGCTCTGCCTCTGGCTGACGGGGTCCTGGGCTTCATCCAACACCAGCTGCTGGAGCTGGCCCGAGACTGCCTGGACAAGTCCCAGAGCGGCCTGGTCACCTCCCGCTACTTCCAGGAGCTGCAGGAGAAGCTGGACAAGCTGCTGCACGAGGTGGGCTCCGATCCTTTTATTCTCTATCGCCCTAAATCTGTCTTTTATTATATTTTCTTCACTTTTTTAAATATTTGTTTTATTTATTTTTCTGGCACTGGCTGTAGATTTGTCTCACAAAATATCTATCTTTGTGAATTAAAACTAACCCAGGCTCTTTTTATTTATTTATTACTAGGATTATTTTTATTATTATTATTATGTTCAAATAGCTTCTTTTTTTTTTACAGTGCTCATGCTTTCTACTGTAGTTTGGTGAAATGTTTTGTCAGGTGTAAATAACCATTGATTGAGTGATACTTGTTGGAAAAGGCATCACCGGCGGAGGTTGAAGAGTTTGTCAGTCGGGTTGGTTTGTTTGGTCTTTGAAAATGGAATAATAATAATAATAATTGTGACAGACGCCAATGACCTCAACAACTATAAAAACATGCAGTATTTTGTACATGGAGTACTTTTCATGTGTATGTGCAACTTTTAATCTTGCCTGGCCTGCCAAACGATATGCTTTTTCAAAGACATATAGTCTGGGAACGAGCTTGATCTCAGCGAATTCCCGGTGGGCGTGGTTGACAGACTGCATCAACCAATTAGATGCACACAGGATATGACGCAGCAACTAGCGGCACCCAAGCCGTTTCAGTAAACACAAAACAAGGGATGGCGGCATGTCAGCTAGTGCAAATGTAAACGACTGCTGTCGATTTTGTAAAAAAAACTTAAAGATACGAGGAGTTATTAGCAACTCAAAGGTGAAAGGAAGTCCCGCCTCTCGGTGCGTGATTGGACCGATGTGGGTAAAATCGTGAAATGATAGGCTAGGAAGAGGTGTCCAGACGGTTCTTCTTTTGAACAGAAAGGAGGAGTGTCTGGCAGGCCAGGCAACTTTTAATCTACATTCTTTGTGTTGGAGCAGTTAGAAGGGATTTTGAAATGACTTTCTTCATGATGCTACTTTCTGGTTGAATATTCTGAATACAAAAAATATTAATTGTTTAGATTTAACCAAAACTGGACCAAAAATGTTTCTGTATTTATGTTCTAATGATGTGTTGGGTTAAAATCTTAAAAGGCATTGAATTTGGTTGTTTTCCTGAGAACATGATGATGTATAACATGCCATGGTCACCCACAACCATCAGTACTGCACGTTAATAACACAAGTTGACAGCCAAAAAATGGTCAGGGGTTTCTCAGCTGATTCAGACTAATGTTGGTGTTCTGAGTCCGAATATCACATGCATTAGTCTCTATCAGGTCAACTTTTTGAGATACAGCCATAGTGTTACGGATTATGTACGTCAACGTTATTAAGAATCAGTAAATAAAAACGGAATGACTTTGGATACGTTGACTTTAATTTCTTGAGGAAAACGGAAAAAAAGTCTAGGGTTTCTCAGCTGATGATCCGCAGAAATTAGTTTTTTACGCAAAATCGATTTAAAAAAAATATTTCTGTAGCGAAAAATCCTGACCTGATTGAGCAAAACCAAGGTCATTTTCGGACTCAGAGCATCAACATTAGTCTAATTCAGCTTAAAAACCCTGGACTATTTTAAAAAAAGTATTTTTTTGTTACCCAGTGTAATAATAATCATTTAAAATCATGTTAGGGACCACTAAAAATGGTCTTTAGGACCGGATTTGGCCCACAAGCCTGAGTTTGACATGTCTGGTCTATAGGGACTGACCCAAAGGACAATCATGAAGTGGAAAAAGCAAAACAAAATGGCCGCAGAGTTGTTAGCGTGCGCCTTCTCGGTCTCGGTCGCGCTCTCTGACAGAGATGGAGTGGTGTGTTGGATAATGATTTCTTACATAACCCTCGTGAAGAGAACAGTCAAATGCAGCGATTCCAGGTCCACGGTCGACTTCCTGGTTGTACAGAACGTCCTCTTTGCAGTAATAATAATATAATCTTTATCTAAAACAGCTCCTGATTATGTCCGGATGTAACAGACGACATGATAGACAAGTGTGTTGTGAAGAAATCTGTTTATGTAACGACTGACTCACCACAGACTGTCTGTCATTGGATAGGGACGCTCTGGACTGATAGAAGTGTTGCCAGATAATATTAGATTAGGCGTTTAGGCTCTCATTATGAAGTTTTGGGAAGTATGTTTATTCCAGCTGGGTGAAAACCAGATCCTGTCAGACCTATGAAGCTAAGCAGGGCAGGGCTAGGTTATTACTGTGATGGGAGACCTCTGAGACAACACCAGGTGCCACAGTGGGGCGGCTGTAAAGTGTTAAACTGTGGTTGTGTCCTTAGGAAAGACACTTCACCCACATTGAGTCTGGTGTGTGTGTGAATGGTTGGTGGTGGTGGGAGGGGCCGATGGCACAGACTGGTTGCCTCGCTTCTGTCAGTGTGTCCCAGGGCAGCTGTGGCTACAGTAGTAGGTTTTTGAGTGTCCAGAAGTAGTGCTGTATAAAAACAATGCATTATTATTTTTACATTAGTTTCTGTAATTTCTCTGTTGTTTAATATGTATATGAACTGTTGTAATATGTATATGTAATCTCTTGTAATATGTATATGAACTCCCTCTGGTGGTGGAAGTGAAGAATTACACACTGAGAATGGATTATCCTTTGTACATATTTCTCCATGTCTTTTCATTTTCTTAACATGAAATGAAAAAGTAAATAACAGATGGAAAGATTGATATCAGAAGAAGGAAATTAAAACACGGTAATACACCCTAACCTAACCCAACCCTAACCCACATTAGACTGTTAAGATCGTCTGTATCTGAAGGGACATCACTCTTAACGTCCTGTCTCTGCGTCCTGAAGGCAGCAGAGTGAAGTGGGAACAGTCGAATGTACTTTAATGATGTATAGAACCATCTAGAAACTGTTTTTTACTGTTATACTTCTGTACTTTTAACCTTGTTTTTATTTGTCTGGTGCAGACTGGGGACTTTTTTCAATTGTATTCCAATGTGGTTTGATTTGAATCTAAATCTTACTGGTTCTTTCTTCTTCTTCTTCTGTTCCAGGCGTACGAGCGTTCAGAGAGTGAGGAGGTGTCCGTCATCATCAAACTGGTGAAGAAGATCCTGATGGTGATCTCTAGACCCGCCCGCCTCCTGGAGTGTCTGGTACGAACAGCATCCATTCATGTGAAAATCTCTGGTCTCTCTCTGGTCTCTCTGGGGTCTCTCTGTTCTTTTTCTCTGGTCTCTTTCTCTGTTCTTATTCTCTGGTCTCTCTCAAGTCTCTCTCTGGTCTCTTTCTGGTCTCTCTCTGTGGTCTCTTTCTGGTCTCTCTGGTCTCTCTCTGGTCTCTCTCTCTCTGTTCTTTTTCTCTGGTCTCTCTCAAGTCTCTTTCTGGTCTCTTTCTGGTCTCCCTCTGGTCTCTCTCTCTAGTCTCTCTCTCTCTCTCTCTCTCTCTGGTCTCTCTTTGGTCTCTCTCTGGAATCTCTCTGGTCTCTCTTTGGTCTCTCTCTGGAATCTCTCTGGCCTCTCTCTGGTCTCTCTCAAGTCTCTCTCTGGCCTCTCTCTGGTCTCTCTCAAGTCTCTCTCTGGTCTCTCTCTGGTCTCTCTCTCTCTGTTCTTTTTCTCTGGTCTCTCTCAAGTCTCTTTCTGGTCTCTTTCTGGTCTCCCTCTGGTCTCTCTCTCTAGTCTCTCTCTCTCTCTCTCTCTCTCTGGTCTCTCTTTGGTCTCTCTCTGGAATCTCTCTGGTCTCTCTTTGGTCTCTCTCTGGTCTCTCTCTGGTCTCTCTCTTTCACTCCGGTCTCTCTCTCTGGCCTCTTTCTTTGGTCTCTCTCTCTGGTCTCTCTCTGGTCTCTCTCTCTGGTGTCTCTTTGGTCTCTCTCTGGAATCTCTCTGGTCTCTCTCTGATCTCTCTCTCTGGTGTCTCTCTGGTGTCTCTCTGGTGTCTCTTTGGTCTCTCTCTGGAATCTCTCTGGTCTCTCTTTGGTCTCTCTCTGGAATCTCTCTGGTCTCTCTTTGGTCTCTCTCTGGTCTCTCTGGTCTCTCTCTCTCACTCCGGTCTCTCTCTCTGGCCTCTTTCTTTGGTCTCTCTCTCTGGTCTCTCTCTCTGGTGTCTCTTTGGTCTCTCTCTGGTGTCTCTCTGGTGTCTCTCTGGTGTCTCTTTGGTCTCTCTCTGGAATCTCTCTGGTCTCTCTCTGGTCTCTCTCTCTGGTCTCTCTCTCTGGTCTCTCTCTCTGGTGTCTCTCTGGTGTCTCTCTGGTGTCTCTTTGGTCTCTCTCTGGAATCTCTCTGGTCTCTCTCTGGTCTCTCTCTCTGGTCTCTCTCTCTGGTGTCTCTATGGAATCTCTCTGGTGTCTCTCTGGTCTCTCTCTGGTCTCTCTCTGGTGTCTCTCTGGTGTCTCTTTGGTCTCTCTGGAATCTCTCTGGTGTCTCTCTGGAATCTCTCTGGTGTCTCTCTGGTGTCTCTCTGGAATCTCTCTGGTCTCTCTCTGGTCTCTCTCTCTGGTCTCTCTCTCTGGTGTCTCTCTTTGGTGTCTCTTTGGTCTCTCTGGAATCTCTCTGGTGTCTCTCTGGAATCTCTCTGGTGTCTCTCTGGTGTCTCTCTGGAATCTCTCTGGTGTCTCTCTGGTGTCTCTCTGGAATCTCTCTGGTGTCTCTCTGGTCTCTCTCTGGTCTCTCTCTCTGGTCTCTCTCTCTGGTGTCTCTCTTTGGTGTCTCTTTGGTCTCTCTGGAATCTCTCTGGTGTCTCTCTGGAATCTCTCTGGTGTCTCTCTGGAATCTCTCTGTCTCTCTGGAATCTCTCTGGAATCTCTCTGGTGTCTCTCTGGTCTCTCTCTGGTCTCTCTCTCTGGTCTCTCACACACGCACACACCTGTTGTGTCAGAGATAATGGCAGAGAAAGCAGCAGTGAAGTGTAAATGTCAGAGCAGTGACCTCCGTCTGAATCTTAATGTTAAAGAATTTAACTTTTGCTCTTTCCACACATCCTTTTCCTTTTAATAGAAGTCAACTGTAAAAGTCATTCTCTTTCAAAAGATGATACATCTACACCTGACTTTAAGAAGCATTTTAGCATAATAAAGAAGCTAGTCTAAAATCTCTAGCTTTAGCATAACAAAGAGTATATCTAGGCTAGGCTAATCTATAGCTTTAGCATATGTCAATGTTTTTGTATGAGCTCAGTCACATGGGAGGAGCTCGGAGTAGAGCCGCTGCTTCTCCAGTAGAGGTGACTCGGGCTTCTGTTCGTGATGCCTCCTGGACTTCTCTCTGCGAAACTATATTATTGGACTTTTCTTGCAGGAGTTTGACCCGGAGGAGTTCTACCAGCGTCTGGAGGTGGCGGAGGGCCAGGCCAAAGTGGGTCACGTCAAGACGGACATCCCCAAATACATCATCAGTCAGCTGGGGCTCACCCGGGACCCCCTGGAAGGTCTGCTCCCACAATATCAGACCAGAGAGGGAGACCAGAGAGGGAGAGACCAGAGAGGGAGAGACCAGAGAGGGAGAGACCAGAGAGGGAGAGACCAGAGAGGGAGAGACCAGAGAGGGAGAGACCAGAGAGGGAGAGACCAGAGAGGGAGAGACCAGAGAGAGAGACCAGAGAGAGAGACCAGAGAGGGAGACCAGAGAGGGAGACCAGAGAGGGAGACCAGAGAGGGAGACCAGAGAGGGAGACCAGAGAGGGAGACCAGAGAGGGAGCGAGACCACTTTTTACTCAGAGGGCCACTTTAGTTTGCCAGACTTAAACTATATTGACTAGAATTGGCCTATTGTGAGATGCTAGATGAGGTTTAACATGACCATTTATAACACACATTTGTACAGCTGAGGTTAGTTGAATAACTTACTTTCGCACAAGCTACTTCAGTGCCATAGACACATTTTGGTGCCACAATGAAAAACAAACACCACAAAATGGATTCAAAATGTTCAGAGCTTTACAATGAGGTATAACAGGCCGGTATTGGAGAAGCTGAAGTTGGCTGGATAACACTATGAACTTGTGTTTTTGACCTCAATGGTATTTTAGGTGAGCGAGGCATAGGGCCGCATATAATGACACAGCGGGCCGCAATTGGCTCTCAGGCCTTAGTTTGGACACGCCTGCCTTATGCTAAAACACCACCTGATTTTCAAACCAGTTTTGGTCAAGTCCACGCTCCCCACTGAGAAGTCATTGCCAGTTAATCCTACACCAGGGGTCTCCAACCTGTAGCTCTCCAGCCCCTTTCAGGTAGCTCCCCAAGGATTTAGAATTTCTTTTTGAGTCAGTACACATCTATTATACGTATAAATATAGGGTTATACAGTATTATGGTATATTTTTTACGTCTGTTTTTCATGTTTTGTCATAATTATCACATATTTTTATTACGACCGCATAAAGGAGTAGCTCTCTGCCTCTTCTGTTGTATGAAAGTAGCTCTCTGATGGAAAAAGGCTGGAGACCCCTGTCCTACACTTTACTTAGAGCTGGTTTTAAAAGTTCCCATGTGGTTGATGGTTACAGACATGGTGCAGCTGGAGCAGACCAGTCCCGGACACAGAGCCTCGAGCCGAGACTCGGACGACGTCGCGGACACTTCACCGCTTCAGGTGCAACTCTCTAGAACTTTATAAACTGAGGTCTTTAAGGTGGAAAGTCCTCGAAATGAGGAAAAACGGTTTGGATTATTTAGGATCGTCTCTTTAATGTCTCTCTCTCTCTACTCTCTCTGGTCTCTTTCTCTCTAGTCTCTCTAGTCTCTCTAGTCTCTCTAGTCTCTCTAGTCTCTCTAGTCTCTCTGGTCTCTCTAGTCTCTCTGACCTCTCTCTCTCTCTATGGCCTCTCTCACTGTGGTCCCTATCTCTCTCTGGCCTCTCTCTCTCTGGTCCCTTTCACTCTAGTCTCTCTCTCACTCTGGTCTCTCTCTTGTCTCTCTAGTCTCTCTGGCCTCTCTCGGGTCCCTCTCTCTCTGACCTCTCTCTCTCTCTGGCCTCTCACTGTGGTCCCTATCTCTCTCTGGCCTCTCTCTCTCTGGTCCCTTTCACTCTAGTCTCTCTCTCACTCTGGCCTCTCTCTCACTCCGGTCTCCCTCTCTCATCATCACAGACTGACCTGTGTGTTGCATGTAGCTCCGTTTACTCTAATACAGGAACTTCTGGCCTTCTTCCTCTTTTGTCCAAAAGTTCTGTTTTCATATTGGAATACAGTATAAGACAGATCACAGCTCACAGTCTCTCTGGTCTCTCTCTCTGACACCTCTCTCTCTCTGGTCTCTCTCTCTCTGGTGTCTCTCTCTGCTCTCTCTGGTCTCTCTTTTTCTGATTTATCTCTCTCTCTCTCTGGCCTCCCTCCCTGGTCTCTCTCTGACCTATCTCTCTCTCTCTGGCCTCTCTCTCTGGTCTCTCTCTCTGGTCTCTCTCTGGTCTTTCTCTTTGGTCTCTCTCTCTCTGGCCTCTCTCTGGTCTCTCTCTGACCTATCTCTGTCTCTCTGGTCTCTCTCTCTGGCCTCGCTCTGGTCTCTCTCTGGTCTCTCTCTGGTCTCTCCCTTTGGCATCTCTCAGGTCTCTGTCTGATCCCTCTCTCTGGCCTCTCTCTGGTCTCTCTCTGGTCTCTCTCTCTGGCCTCTCGCTCTGGTCTCTCTCTGGTCTCTCTCTCTGGTCTCTCTCTGGTCTCTCTCTGGCCTCTCGCTCTGGTCTCTCTCTGGTCTCTCTCTGGCCTCTCGCTCTGGTCTCTCTCTGGTCTCTCTCTCTCTCTCTGGCCTCTCGCTCTGGTCTCATTCTGGTCTCTCTCTGGTCCCTCTCTGGTCTCTGGTCTCTCTCTGGCCTCTCGCTCTGGTCTCTCTCTGGTCTCTCTCTGGCCTCTCGCTCTGGTCTCTCTCTGGTCTCTCTCTGGTCTCTCTCTCTGGTCTCTCTCTGGTCTCTCTCTGGTCTCTCTCTGGCCTCTCGCTCTGGCCTCTCTCTGGTCTCTCTCTGGTCTCTCTGGTCTCTCTCTGGTCTCTCTCTGGTCTCTCTCTGGTCTCTCTCTGGTCTCTCTCTGGTCTCTCTCTGGTCTCTCTCTGGTCTCTCTCTGGCATCTCTCTGGTCTCTCTCTCTGATCCCTCTCTCTGTCAAAAATACAACCCTATTGATGTATCCATATTTAATTTAATGAACTTTAATTGTTATTAAAGTCAAAACAATGAATTCTTTCTTAGCAACATTCTC